AATTCAAAACTAAGAAATGAAAATTTTGCCTGTGTCTCCCTTTTAATTAAATTGTATCCTTGCATGAAATAGTTTGCTAAATGTAGCAACTTAAAGGGAATCATTTGACGCTATATTTAGATCAGATTAGTGATGGAAGCGAGTAGAAAACGATAACATGTACCGAATTTGAGGAAAAAAATATTTTAAAAGTTTGATGTTACGTGTTTGGTTTGTTAGCTTCAATACAAAAGTATACAGCAATTTTTGTCCGGTAAATGTTCCAAATCCAGTAAAGGTTCTCAAAGTTAACAGTTATAAACTTCCATATTTCAGTCTCCGCCATATTTAATAACATGGTTAATACTTTTTGAACGAAACGTAAATTTAAATATAAATTTGCTACTTACCTTAATTTATAATTTTGTTTTAATTTTTTTTCGTGTTGGTTCAAGGCAGTTGGATACAGGATCGAAAACGAATTTGCAGAAGCGTGCTCGGTTTATATACTAAGCATGCGCAAACGAGTTTGAATGACTTGTTAAGGGGAGTAGCCAGATATACTGATTATTGCAAAAACAATCTGACGGATTGTGTAAAACTAAATAATTTAAACTCAAGCGCTGAAACTTAATACGATTGAATATTTGTACTGAAATGTTATAAGATACATCATGTATATAGATAGTTCATAAGATCATTATAAACCGTTAAGACCAGGACATTGGTTAATTAGTACTTTAAATGTGTAAAGGAATGATTGAATAAATCACAAATATAGATTTCAGGGGTTGTACATTTGTAAATGTTAATATGAATATACCGAGTGATGAATATCAGAGTAACAGGAAACAAGAACACTATCAAAGTTCTATAATTTGTGCTATTTAACCGACAAAATATTAAAAGAAAATTTACGAACAAAATAAAATATTTAAGTCATGATTTTCTAAATATTACATTATTAGACCGACATTCTAATAAATAAACATAGATTATTTAAAATCAAAACTTTAAATAGCAATTGTATCACAGTTAAATTAATAAGAGATCTGGAAATAGTTATGATGTTTATGTCGATTTGAAATCGTTTTAAATTTTCTTTTACAGTTTTAGTCTTAATATCGTGTGTAAGACCCGTGACTATCAATGAAAGCTTGGCAGCGCCTCCTCGTACTGCCTATTAGGTTTCTGACCGTTCTAACGAGTAAAGGTGCCCATTCCTGGACCAACATGACTCCAAGCTGCTGCATGGTCCTGGGTTGCAGCTGACGAGCTGAAATTCTAACCCGCAATTCATTCCACATGTTTTCTGTTGGATTTAAGTCTGGTGAGCGAGCTGGCCAAACCATGTGCTCAGTAGACTCCTCTATAAGAAGACCTGGACCACCCATGCCCTTTAAAGGTAAGCATTATGATCGTTAATTAGCATGAAATGATCGCCGTCTGCTCAAGCATACAACTTAATCTGGTTGTCTAAGATGTCGTCTATGTGTCGCTGACCTATCAATGAGCCTCTAATAAGCACACACCGGTCGCTTCGTCCATCTAAGCTGATGCCTCCCAACACCATAATTGACCAACCTACGTAGCGGTTATGCTCAGCAATATTTACAACATGAAACTATTCACATGTCACCCGTGTTGCATAGTTCAACTTGTATGCTCCATCGTCCATTTAGCCTGGCGAGTTCGACGCGTCAAGGGGATACGTATGTAATGAGTCTCGATCGCAAATTACCTCCATGCAGCCTTTTAAATACCGTCTGCGCGGAAACATGGACCCGCAGCATTAGCAAGGTCATTTCGAAGAGAAGTTGCTGTCGTATAACTTGCACTACCTGACTGAACCACCAAACCAAGTCCTGAGCTTGTGTTGAGACCCCTTTGCCAAGTTAAAGCATGCTTCCTAGCGGATGTACCATGTAATCGGTATCTCTCCCAGGCTCTGGTGATGACGATGTAGTGTACACCAAGCGCCGCACCAACCTGGCTGAAGGTGGCCCCTGCAGCACCATCCCTACAGCCCACCATAACTCTGCTTATCTCAAAGCCTCTGCCGCCTAATGTTAGCATGCGCCATATCGAAGTGACAGATGAAGCAAATGTAAGCCACTGAGTGACAATAAGCGGGTAATGTCGCCGTTTAACAAATTAAAGACATGTGCTTGTACAACCCATCAAAACATGGACATTGGGGGTGTATGCTTTATATGCTTCCTAGACGAGTTGTAACGGATTAGTCAACACGGATTCAAGTCAAGTGACTATATTCTCATAATATTGCTAAATCAGAATTTCCAAAAATTTGGAAAGAACCTGTTTTATACTTGTAATAATATAAACATTAGCCTATGGTGCTTATGAACAGTTTAGTATGAGTAGTTTAGTTAGGCTAGAGAATTGAATCTCTCTCACACGTGAGTGTTAAATAGGAACAAACACTTGAAGTTTTGCAGTACATACCTTAAGAAATAAGAAAGTTGTAGACAACGAACACCTTTTATTCTCATGAACGTTCAGTATGAAAATTCGGATAATGTTGGTGCTAGAATTTGCATTATTATTTAAATAATGATTATAAGCATGAATGTGACGTTTGAAGTTGCTGTAGATACATTAAGAAATAAAAAATAATTATATAAAAAACACAACTTTTTTCTCATGAAAGTTCATGGTGGGTAATTCCGAAATGTTTGTTGCTAGTGTTGTGAAAATTTTCACAGAACTAGATGATCAGTACATTTTAAAGTTTGAAGTAGATATCTAGAAAGTAAAGAAATGAAAAAGATTTTATTGTTTGGCATGAAACATTGCCTTAAGAATTTCAACATAATTGATATTAATCCCCTTTGGCCATTTTAAGCCCCACCACAGAGGCCACTTGGTTTATATAGGGAACACATAAAGGTCGTATAGTGTAAAGCTAAAACGCTTTAGACATTTGACTTGAAGCATGGCCTTATGGATACCAAGCAAACTGATGATAATTATCATTTTGGGTCACTTTTGGCCGCCCAAGGGTATCACTAAGGCTTATTTACAAAAAAATAAAAACAACATGTACATCTTATTTGTCCGATACTATTTTGATTGGAAAGGTCAGAAGACGGTGAAATTTTCGTTTCTTAAAATTTAATGCCATTATTCACTATATAAAATGTGTCATTTCTATCAATAGTATACAAAAAAATATTCTTCCTCTTGTTGTCTATGTTAAAACTACTTTGCTATGTATTGTTCTTTTCTCTCATTTACTTTTATTTTCAAAATAGTAATGTAACATACTGTATGTTTAAATCTTTTATATAACTCTTTTCTGATTATATGGAAAATTTAGTTTTACAACTACGACAACTATAACGTGTACAGCACGCGCAAACAATTTATACAGCCGAACTTACCGGTATTTAAATGCTTATTGTAAATACTGCCATTAGCTAATTCAGTCATATAAGATCGTGGGAACTGTGACCTCCGCCATTTTTGCATTGGGCTCATCGTGCAGTCGGGGGTAATCATGACTCCCGTCATCCACTGGGTAGTGGTGGGTTGGGAGTGTACCTGGCACGTCTGGGGCGCATTTTATCGCCGATAAACTTTATTTGAGCTTCTATGCCCCAGATCGTGCTCTGGTTAAGTTCAAGTCCACGATAGAGTAGGCGGAGATCACAAGTTCACTCCGATCTGAAAATTCTATATAAAATAATTATGAAATATATTCAATTCACTTGCAAAATAAAACACTTAAAAAAATTTATCTGTTAGTACCTAACATTAACTAAAGGGGAGTAAATGCAACAGCATCTGCTATGTCATGCTATTTTTGTAATTTCCTTTCTTATGCCATTCGCAGTCCATTACATTGAGAGTATTAAAGTATTCATGGAATTTCTATCCTTTTCCCTTTCTTTTCGTTTCTTTTTGTTGTTGGTAAACAATAAACTTCTCCATTTATACCTTGAAAATGATTTGCATATTTACTAAAATAGTATATTCATTTTGTTCAATACTTTTTTCGCACCATGATATAGTATTATAAATATGTTTAAAAATGTTGATATATCTTGAGCGGTAATCGTCAATTTAATGCTACGTATGATTTTTTTTTTCAATTTCTCCTTTTACTTCTGTTTTATTTCAGTTTTTCCTTTTTTCTCTTCAACACCAAACCTACCAATTTTAATTACATTTTCACTATAAATTTTCTAAGTAATTTTGATTGAAATTAAAGTAAAAACAGACACCATTCATAGAATAAAAAAATACCCCCCCCCCCTCTTTTGAATATTAGATTAGGTTTCTCTATAAGTTCATGTGTTTAGCAATATATAGAACAGGTTTGGCTCTCCACGTACTTGATGCTTGAAAGAATACTTATCTAACATTTAGTATCATTTTCTTTATTTTACCATTATAGATTTTTGTGTTAGAATAACCTTATCGTATGTTTATTATTTTCTATTTGAGCCTTATTGTACTTTTATTCATGCTCATTGTGCCATGTTTGTACATGAAATGAGAGAAGTAAATGTTTTTCACTTGACTTGACTATATGTTCCAGATCTAACATATTTAATTTGTGATATTGCCATATGAGCGTTCACAAAGTTGACATTCATTACATTTCCTGTGTCGATATTTCCAACGCCATTTGGGACATTTGATATTGCTTAGTTAACTTACAGAAGAATTAAATATATATAATATAGTTATGTATACATTTACCCTCTGGTAAAACCTTGCAATAACCTGGGTAGCAACGATATGAAAATATAAAACTAAAGACAGTGTTTGAGATATAATATAAGCAATAAGGAATATCTAATTTTATAAATTTTATTTTAAAGCAATAATTCATTAATTTTTGGGAAAAAAATAGTTGTTGAAAATCATCATCTAAAGAAATATCAAATCAATTTAGCTGAAACACGCTGCAGTTGTTATCTTCATACGCAAGAAATATAAAGTATAACTTCTGAATACCGAACACCAAAAAGCCCAGAATTTGAAAATTTCCGACAATCAGAAGTTATCTGAACCAATGAACATATTAAAGACATGCTGAAAAATTATCAAAAATTAAAATTAAAAAAAAAAACTTTTATAATTTCATTTAATTTCATTATCACCTTTAAATTACTTAGTTGATACAATAACATATTGCTAGTCAACACAATTCATCCTTAGGTGTATTTCATGTACATGTTGTACCAGCAATTAAACTGTTTTATAATTTTCTTATTATATTCAAGTATTTGCTATGGTTGAGATGTTATGGTTCTTAAAGTTGTCAAGATAAATGGTAAATTCTAATTGGAAATTTCTGACATTTTGAGGGTTTAAAAAATCTATAATTCTAAATACCAAGCTTTGAATAACAACTAATTAAATTAAAATTACTTAAATAGGACAAGCAATAGGAATGTAAAATGTTGAAATAAGTATGATTTTGTTTCACAAATCATTTATAGCATTAAAACGGAAATAAACTTATAAAATTAAAAATATACTTATATGAAGTTAGATATAATGTTGATTTTTCGATGATTAAGTAATGTTAAACCAAAAATGTGCAAGAAACAATAAAATCCTCTATGTAAATATGACACAGTGCAAAGAAACGTTAAATTAAACGGATATCACACCATTACTTGTACATAAAACACATGTGTAACTACTGACTTAAAGTTTTTCATAGTGTATTTAAGAAAGCAAATGTTTATGCTTAGTAATTCAAGATCGCATTCCATACTCTTGTAGGGACCCACTTTTGCTTTCTCTCTTCTTCTTCTTTTCTTAAGCGCGCAGCCTCCTTTCGAGCGTCGTCTTGTTCCTTTCTATAGCGTGCAGCTTCCTTTTCTGCAGCTTCTTGTGCAAGTTTGTAGCGTTCAGCTTCTTTTTGTGCTGCTTCTTTTTCCAACTTTTCTTTCACCAATGCTTCATACTTTTCTTTATCTGCTGCTTGCTGATTACTACGATCTTTATCTAGCTTTTCATAATGATCTGCTAAATCTTTTTTCTGTTTCTCTAACGCGTCTTCCTGAGCTTTCTTTTGCTGCTTCAATAATTCATCGAGTTTTTCTTTGTTTCGCCTTTGCTCGGCTGACAAAGTAGAATAAATTAATTATCATGAATGTTATGCAATAATGTATGCTTATAGAAACATTCTATTTCACTCACTTAATAACACTTTTTTGAAGAATGTACATCCATTTTGCAATATGTTTTAATAGCTCTAAAAATTGTTTACCTTTGATTTATTAACTGTTATTCTTTAAGAATGTGGACTATATTTAATGTAAACTACGTGTGTTATAATATGCTTGTTTTTATATGATAGTTGATGCGTTCTGTTATCCCAAATTTTATTACTTGATATTCCTTGATGAAGTTGAAAATGAAGCAAAGGGGTGATCGGTATAGATAGTTTGACGCTAGGAAATTCATTATCATTTTCATATCGGAGTATCACACAGTTAATCTTCAAGCTGTTGCCAATGGATTATTTCAATAATGTTTTATTATAATAATTGCTTTAGAAACAATCATCAAATACCTTCTTTCTCCTGCTGTGAAATGTTTCCATCAGCTTCAATTATTGTAGCTTCAGTTTTGGTCATACTTTCTACAAATCTATACCATGTAGCTAAAATCTATAAAGTAATAAATAGTTCTTTATCGGATGAATACATTATGATTTCTTTAAAAAGTTACAAAAAGAAAAAGCCATAAGTATATTTTACAGAAGCACAATACAACGAGAGAGTTCTAACGTAACAATATCGCTCATATAAGATTTATTCCTAAAAAATGCCAAAAGTTACCCTTTGAAATGTTTAAAGTCGCACGGATATACTACATATCAAATATCTGAGGGTGAGACATTGTTGTTTCTTTACGAATATTTAACAGTAAGTTTTCAAAGTCAAAAGAGAAACGGGACACATGAGCGGGGCCATTTACGACTCTTGGGGGATGATGCAGTGTATCGCGATCAACTAAACAATGGTACAAACAAAATATCTGTGCTTCTGACTATTTGCTTTACAATATTGAATATTGAATATTTAAATCAAATATGAGTGCAATATCAGTTTATAAATATTGAGGCTATATGCACTATGTAATGGTACAAGCCAGCACAATATCACAGTTTTGTCCTTAAAGCTTATGAACAGAGGCTTTTTAAAAAGATCAGCTGCTATTATCTACAAATGCATCATATGGAAGCATGTCTTTAAAGGACTCCTCGTGAAACTGTCGTGTTCAGATTTATCTGAGTCTCTTTTATGTTAATACATAATTGACACTACGGCCATCATACTATCAAAAAGCGCGGACATGTGCAATTTGTGATCATATAAGCTGAATAAAAAATATTATAAATTTTAAAAAGACAAATTGTGCTTTCGAACATTAAAGTATTCTTTATTCGATGCTATAAGATACAATAGTTTTTTAATCCTGCAGCAGTAAGCATTTCCAATAAGAACCATAACAACGGGGAAATAAAAGAAACAAGATAAGATCAAAAAATGTGTAAACCTCGTTTTCCCTGAAGTCTCTGAGAACACTGACATATTCATCTTTGGTTCTTTCAACATCACGCTTGTATCTCCGATGACCACCTGCTGTTTCATATTCTCGATTTTCTATATTCTTTTTCAGATATTTCTCAAAAATATTCTGCAATGTATTCTCACATTTCTCTCGAACTTTTTGCTCATTAGTTGCTATTGTCTTGTCCCAAATCGCATCCATTTTCCTCTGTAAATAAATAAATATTTTTTTTATTTTTAGTTGGATTTCAGTAAACCCGACACGGTAATGTTTTTCTGGTGGTAGAAGACCTCAAGTGTCCCTACAATCATTATTTCAGACACAAACTGGTACCTACGAAGAAACCACGGACCTTTCATAAGCTAGCTAGCTGGACATCTTTCTCATCATGTCATAATCCAAAGTCCATGACGGAAAATGAGCCACATTTATAATATTATTTTATTATTATTATTATTTTCTGAGTACTGTTCCAGCTGGGCCCAGAACAACAACATGACCTTTGCATGGTACAAACATAGAACATTAGCAAATATGTTCTGATATTCTCAGTGTGCGAAATTATTTTAAGAAACGAATAACAAAGGTATCACAATACTCAAACATGTTCTATCTTGACATCCAAGTGTTACCGCCATCTTTCTAGCTGTTTAACATGAAAAAAAGTCGAAATGAGCCCAAAACATTATTCCTAGTTAATTGAAAATCCATCCATGAATGACGGGATTCATAACCACCAATGTTATTTTGTGAAATTTATACTCTAAAAGCTTTAACTTGCCCTGGCCATTTAAACTACAAACTTATTCACACTCAGTATTTACTAATCTTAAATGTCCATCATATTCCAGAAATGCCTTTACTTTTTGTTTATGAACTCTTTATATGTTTAAGTATCTTGATTTAATTTTCAAAGTGTTTCTCACTAGCCGTTGACCTGAATCATCCCTGCTTCTGTTGCTTTTTTTTGGCAATTAGTCAGGTTGCAGTTATATTAATTAATTACATTGTACTAAAATGTAGCTTTGTCGATATTATGCTATTTTTATGACATTTCATTTTTTTACTTTCTCTAGGTAATAAGCATGTTACATGCTCTTAAACCATTATGTACATGTAATAAAACTTTAATTTGCACTTTTTTAAACATGAAACATTACCCGTGTCTGGGGCATAATGTGCCATTTAAGTACCGCATATTAGATCATTGTCATTTGAAAATTTGTAAATGAATGGAAAAGATATGGACTTAATATAATTATCAATGCGCTAACATATTATGACTCTTAACATTCAAGTTTGACTTTGACCATTGGTTTCTGAAATTGCTTACATTATGTCATCTAAACAAATATACACCGTATAATTAATTCCTTCTCTATTTATAAATGAATTCTTTACGATTTATTCATGGAAAGATTGTTAAAATATGAAAATTGTGCGGCGACAAAAAACACTTTACACAGAGACTTTAACATTTTAAATTGTTGTAGTTGTTATATCTTGTGACTTAAATATAAAAATTGAACCAAGAACTTACAAGCCGAATAAAAATACTTCAGAACAAAACCTTTTAATAAATACTTGTCAAAATGACTAGACTTTGGATGGAAGTTTAGGCATCCCCTTTGCCTAACATTAACCATAGTTTAAGTCTCTCACCTGCGCTTGAATGTGACATTTCGCTTGAAAGTCATGAATAACATTCTGTCGAAGATGATCAAGAGCTATCTTTTGTGCGGTTGTGTAACGTTCCCCCAAATCACTTTCAGAGACTGGCAGCATTACTTTTTCCATTTCAATTTCAAAAATTTCTTGAGCCTCTTTTTCAATTTTAGCATTTTCTATTTTCGCTACAGCTGTAAATGCATCATCAACATCTGGTACAGCACCGTGTTTGATAGCCGTGACGTACCGGTCAGCCAATGTTACGAACACTATAATTTAAAAAAAAAAATATCATTCAAAGTAAGTGATAAATTTAAAAGGATAAAGAACTCTAGAGGTAAGGGGTGATTATGATGTGATGCAAATAAATGACTCCCTGAAGGTATAAAAGGATAATGAGATGTGAGTAAAATATTAGGCTCGTATTAACCGAAAGAATTAATCAAAAAAATCTTTTAAAGAAAGAAAAAAAAACTGGAAAAATAAAAAAAAAAAAAAAACATCAACATTTTTTACTTAAAATGCTAATATTTTTTGAAAACGTTGGCTGGGACATTTTTTTTATTATTAAAGTGTTTCATGTCTCCATGCCTAGTCATAAGTCTCGTCACTCATTTAGGCTTCATATTAAATGTGTACTATTTTTTATACGATGTGTCATTGGCAATATGTATGCTTTCAACATAAAGGTGTGACGTCAAAGAGCACAGTTTTGTTTTGATGACATATTGTGAACAAGTTCAGAAGGCCGATGGTCAAGTTAAGTCGTAGTCGATTTTGGGGTAATAATGAGAATGAGTAAAATGAACTTTTTACCTTATTAAGGCATTTAATGTTCACCGAAAAAAGTAAAATTTAAATAGTATGTATGTCAAAATTAAATTACATACCCTCAATAATTATGGTAATTGACAACTTACTTTGTCCATTTAATGGTTTACTGGCTAGTAACTCCTTCGGTGGTATTGTGTATATATAGGATGTAAACCGAGTTGTTACATCCTGGAACTTGGCAGATAAATCGGTAAAGCTCAAAGTTTCAAGATTCTCAAGATCATCAATATTACATGGAAATGGGAAAGCAAAGCATTCGCGTCTCGTGAAGTTGTTTCTGATGCATTCTCTTGGTTTGTTGAACTGTTCTGCTTTGTTTTTGTTCTCCGCTAAAGTTTGCTCAAGATAATCGTTTTCTGTTATCTTTTTCCCATCTTTTATCAATTTAAGACAGAAATCTCTCAAACAGAGAACAAAGTCAGGAAGTATAAGACTGATCGACTGGTTATCCTCAGACGATTGTCCCCGAAATCTAATATTGCTTGCCATTTCTGTTACAAATCTATAGTTCTTCAGTTAAGCTAATACATTACTGTATGAGGAGAATTATTTAAAGGATAATCTTAAACGGAATAAATTTTAAGAAAAAAAGAATCCTTACATAAAATATTATTTATATTTTATTTATTCATTTATTTATTTATTTATTTATTTATTTATTTATTTATTCATATCATTTGAAGATTAGGAAAAAAAGAAGTCTAGGAATTTTATATCGATTTCTTTGATAAGAATATATCAGAATGATGGAACGTTAGAATAATAATGTAATATCAGTTCACGTTTAAGCCTGCATTTATTTGCTAGCCACATAAATATCCCAAGAAAAATGACATAATTATATGCCAACAGAGGGCTTCAAAACACATTCTGATGTAATATAAATAATAATTAGTGGTTTTGTGAAACCCTATAGTTAAATCTCTCAATTCGTATTCCATTATATCAAACCTTATCATGAATTATCAATATATACCTAATGTTTTTATTGTTTGAAATTTCAATTTGATTCGTGAAAGCAAAAGCTTAAACTCAGAAACAATTTTATTTAACAGTCACGTTACTTCAAAATAAAAAGGATACGTGAGTTTAGAGACGGTGTCGTAATCAAACGTTCCCTTCATGTTGTAAACTAAACAGTTGCAAAGGAGTGTCGCTAGGGTAAACATCTTGTTGTCATGATTTGGGTCACCCTGTTTAATAAGATTATCAGTAAATGTCTTTAAAATTACATTAAATTTCTTTGTTAGGTTTGTTATTAGCTTGGAACGTAAACAAATTAGTTTGTACAATATGATAGATAGTGTTTACCTATTGTTTTGTCAAGACATCAAATGCTTTAAACAAACTGTTCATACCTTTTCAACATCGCCAATTCCTTCGGTATCAAGAAGCAACAGAACAGTTTTCGACTGAGTGGGATGTTTTTTACACCATGCCCAAATAATCCTGGTTGTTCTCTCAATCGTATCTCCCACCTCAAAACCTAAATCATCATTATCAAAAACAGAACTTTTACTTCCATTTCTTTGTTGGGCTTAACGGTAAGGAACAAAATGCTTAATATATAATTTTATATCTATCCAAATGTCATTTTGATTAATTTGTAGTATTAATGAAATAAGATCAGTGAATTCTGTAACTAATTTGATATCGATAATATTGCACAGACATACCTTTGCTCGACCCAGCCAGACGATTCAATAGATACGATTTTCCAGTTTTAGACAAACCTGCAACGGCTACAACAACTATTGGCCAATCTATCTTTGATATTTGATCAAATACTTCTTCTTCGCTCTTAAGGAGTGTCTTGGTTTCTTTTCCTGCTTCGTTTTTCTCAATAACGTTACTGATCAACCGCATTGGATGTTGGAATATTTCCAAATCATTTGAAGACCACCTGCTGCAAATATAATAACTGTTAAACTTTCTTTAAATATTTCAGCAATTAAGTTTTTTTTGTTCTTGAAGTATGAAATTTGACCGTAATTTTACATTGTGTTGATAATAAATGCTTCTGGAAATATAAGAGCAAAGGGAATCAATGGATAGCAATGCAAATAGAAATCACAATTTTGAACATAGCAACAAAACGCCAAGACATATATTATCTTAAAGTTACTAAATAAAGAAAAAAATATTTGAAAGCAAGATTAACATCACCGGGAAAAGAAATGACAAACATCTGGTAATATTTTAAATGTGTCTTTTTTAAGTCTTTTTTTAAGATACTTCTTGTTTTTAATAGTTCTATGGAGATATGCCTTTGCTTTTCTCGAATTTTATAAGATATTTCCTTTTGTTGAATTTAATAGAACAATAAAGTTTCCTTTTAAAAAGAAAGGCTTGCCTAGTCGTGCCATCATCCCATCCCTTTAAAATGTTTTTATTTTTTTATTTTAAAAAACCTCCTAAATAACTCTTTATGATAAAGAAATGATTATACAAAAATAATAAATTGACCTTATATACCAGTAAAAAAAACAAGGCACCTATGTTTTTACAGGAAAAGAGGGTCAAATTATTATCACTATTTTTTTAATTATTTGATTATCATAAAGGATTTGTTTAGGATTTATTTTTTCGAAAAAAAAAGTTTCATTTTTAAAGGGGTAGGTAGGGTAACCCCAAGACTGGACGAGCACCTGTGTACATTTGTGCCTGTGTTATGCATGCTAATTTGGACAAAAGAAGGACCAGAAGTCCACTGGTTATAACTGAACCGGAACATGATGACGATAACAGTAACAACGTTTTTTTGGAAAAACGAATATTTTTTGTTAAAAACGATTTGAAATCTATTCTCTATTGTATAAAACTAATAAAGAAAATAGTCAATCGTAAAAATGCTAACATTTGCTCTCCCACGTGGAGGAAATGAAAGTATCTATCTATTAGCAGGTGTGCATATTTCATTTTTCACTTTTTTCGCCGAAAGAGTCATTCGTTTTGGCAGTTGCTAATTTCATTGAAATAGAAGCTTTAAAGACAATTCAATGTACTAAAAGACTTCGTTACGTGGTACCAATTAATATGCATGTATCAGTTATGTTACACCTAAAATGTCTGTTGATCACAGATATACCGACAACACAGGATACGCTATCTGTAGATCAGCACGTGGTAAGGTTAATGATATGCATGGGCTATTTTGGATGATCGATCACCGAGACGTTATACTGTAGTTTTAACTCCACGTTAGAATTGCGTTTAAATATAAGACACAGTAGATCTAAGCAGACACATGTGATAGAGCTATGCAATTTTAACTTGTTCGCACTAATCTCTGTGTGATTCGGTCACGATCTTTTGGTAGGTAGGACCGTCCTTTGAAGACGGAATACTTCTACAATAGCCATTCTCTATTGTATAAAACTAATGAAGAAAAAAATCAATCATATAAGAAACTAACTTTTGCGTCTTGAAAACGAATTGAAACGGGACATTTTCGTTTATAATTTATTTCCTCCTTCTACTTACGCTTTAAACCGATAAATCAAATAAACATAGAAATCCTTTTTATAGAAACAAACTGGGATTACCGAAGTAACTAAACACGCTTAGATTTCCGTAATATTACTTCGTCTGATTCCGCAGTATGACGGAATCGCCCGAATTGTCACGATTGCAGCGACAACCTAGACTTGTTTCCCGTTCCATCATGCACTTACAAATGTAAGCAGGAAAGCATCTAACCGGATCAACTTTTTCAAAACAAAAGTATGCAACGAAACATTTTATCAGAATTAGAATTTGCTTAACACAGTCACTATCATAAATACAAGTCTCGTGAAACTATAGCAGTAAATATCCATATTGATTTGCAATTTTTGTAAATAAGTTTTCTTTTTAAATTTAAGTTACCTTGATTCAATTGTTGTCACTGCTTTTTCCTCAGTCTCCTTAAGCGATTCTGGCTGCGATGACAAAATCCTAGAAATACTGTTTTGAAATCCTTTTATTAACTTTTAATACTAATGTTATCTGAGATATGCATATGTATAGACATTACTCAATTTCAATCAAATACATAAAAATATCATAAAACAAAACTAAGATATTGTGTAAATCTTTAATAAGTATTCTCAATTAAGGTTACTTTAGTAATTTTGATATTGAAACAGGACTTGAAATACGAAGGTGTATGAATTATTTTTCACCTAACATTCGTATTGTGTAGATATTTATAGACGTTGAAATATGAGTTAAAACAGCGTATATTAAGTTTTATTAATATATTTGATGAGTATATATGCTGCGATTGACAAATATATACATTTGTATTTTATTTGCATTAAAAGGCTTTTAAAGATCAAATGCCCAACTGTCTGAGTACATGAAGTGGCTCAATGGTGACGTTAAACTCTTAGCAAAGTGTTGTATCGTTAATAGTAATACAGGACTTCTCTGTCATTAATGTATTACATTTTATATAAATGTAAGTTAACCTCAATGTCTTTGGTGTGTGATCATCGTTCTCAGACGGTGTTCCCGCAGATGGTAAAGGCCTTCAATTATAATATGTAAATGATCATTATAAATTCGAGAATGATTTCTTGTCGAGTTGATAGCATTCAGATGTTATCCATCCAATCAGTAAATAAGAAATCTTGTTTAACGTATTTGAGGAGAAATTAGTAATTATAGCTGGTTAGTTATCAAAGAAGGTTTGATAGATCGACATTCAAGACAGAAATGAATAATGTGTTCTAAAAGCAGCATATAGATAAGAAAAACAAACACAGATGTACAGTCGACCTCGTTATGTCGAAGTCATCAGGACCGTCTGAAAATATCGAGATAACGAAATGTCGAGATAAAAGTATTAGGCTTTGAACCAAGTAGATGTGATATTTACAAAAGACATGTACATACTTGGTGTCAAATTAACAAAGTACTAGTATGTATAGTTTTCTTGAGCTTAATTTATTACCAATATTTAATTAGCGGTTGTTTAACAGCGGAAATACGGGTGTCTGTGATAAATACACTTAGTGAGGTTTACTCAGTAATACACTGCTAAAGTGCAAACGATGTTTTCAACGTGGTCGATACCCCCCCCCCCCCGGTTAGTTAACGGGCTTTTTCCGAGCTTGTTCGACCCCTGTTTGATATTTTTTAATGTTGTGAACAAATATTGCAACGATAATGTTTCCATATTTGTACTATTTCATTTACATTTTAAGTCATAATGTTATAAATACAGTGCTTAAATATTTTATAAATAACGGAAAATTCACTTATTTTTGACATAAATCAACCAACACTCTGATTAATTTTTTAAAAAAAAAGCTCGACTTGATACAAACATAATCATCATTATGACACACTATATTGAGCGATTATCTTCTGGTTTGTGTTTTACACAACTCTTGAGGGGACAGACGAAAGTCTTAGTGGTCGAGATAAACAAAAGATAATAGTATGAAAATAATTATTTGGGCTGAACTTTTACTTCGAGATACTAAAATTATCGAAATAAAAATATCGAGATAAACAAATATATCCAATAAAAGTAAAGAGGGAAGAAAGTCGGGACTTCTAAATTTCTAATGATTATGCATGATGCTATTCAGCAAAAGATATAAATAACGTCGTTTTTAAAAAGTCGACTGTTAAATGTCATAGCCATTGCGTCGATTTATGCCGCCTTGATCGCTTTATTCGGTTTGTGTTCGTTTCCATTTCCACATTCTATTTAGCGTATTAGCAAGTTGCAAACCAGGGATTTACTAACTATTCCCTTTACAACTTCTTATTTATTTATGAATCTCATGCAGACTATTGAATGTAGCCGATGCCGCTAGTAATTATGTCAGAACCACATTCGTCGAATACTTGGGCAAAGTATTTATAATTCATACTGATTAATAATGAATCATATAGCTTCTCCATCTTAATGTCTTTTTAAAGCATATTCTCTATGAAAGAATAACATGATTTTGTTAATACACGTACCTGTGCATTTTTGGAGCAACCGCAATAGGCTGTATACTACTTCGAATCTCATGTCTATAAGAGTCTTGTGCACTATCTTCAGGTGACGTCAACAACAATCTAGTATCCAATGAGGTCAAAGAAGAATGCATAGGACGGAACCCCTTTTCCTTTACTTCTGAAAAATATTAGTTTCGTAATAGTATTGTACACCTGGATATCAATATAGACTTAATATATTCTTATTACTACAAAAAAGTAAATAATTACAACAAGTATGTAAATAACAGTTATATTCACTTGTCTTACAAACAAGTAGTAATTAAAAAAGCAGATAAAATTAAGAACACATCTTCTAATGTAACTAAATTTTAAATTGCACGATTGACATCTAAAAGTTTGATTTCTTATGCTTGCTGGAGGGGGACGGTAACTTTTCTTTCCACCTGCCGTCTATCAAACGCTAGAAACGCTTTCTGTTGGCAGAGTCACTCATCAGCATTCAGCATTCTCATTATCACTCATTCAGCATTCAGGATTAGGAACTACATTCAGGTGTTAACGTCCGAGCGGTTCACATCGTAATCTGATTATTTAGGTGTTAAAGTTAAAGTTAGGCCTTTTTTTATTAATTAATTACTTTTTATTAGATTTTTAAGGCAGATTTAAATTATTATTGGGAATCTTGTATTTCTATCAAGCTTCTCAATAGTGAATTAAATCATTTTTGTTATTTCTTATAATTACACATAGTCTAATTGGAAGTGTTGTGGAGAGTAATTAAGTTTTTATTTGGGAAAATCGGTCATATCGAGATTCTCATTAATTATTTGATTGTCAAATCTCTCACTATTCAGTTGAGGATAGAAGAAATATCTGGATTAATAAAAGTAAAGGCAAAGAGAAAAACAGAGAAAATCGGAGGTAAAATTAGGTTCAGAATATGAATTTATCGATCTTTATAGGTAAACAAATATAAAAATTATCCCTTTTTTCACAGATATAAATAAACAAATGCATTTAGAACTTTACGGATTTAGTAAAAAAAATTAGTTGAACAACATAAAGGATTAATTGCCATTTTTTCTTCATTTTTCGGCAAAAATTCATGATGGCCGCCAATTTTCACACCTTTTAAATGGTGGACATTAAATAATTCTTTTATAACAATATACAAATGGAAATATTTAAATAATAACGAATAACTTCTGAACAAAAAATATATATTTGTAGCAAAAATAATCATTCATAATCAATTTCAAAAAATAAGAAATTATTAGGAAAACTAAATATTTTTCGGCAAAAACACAAATTGGCCGCCATCTTTTAGAAACTTTCGAAATAGAAAAAAATTAAAATAGAATCAGAATTAATTGTTAAGTTCCCAAAAGCTATATTTTTCAAGTGAAAACAGTTAAAGAATTTCATCTAGAATCAGTACGAATTAGAGGAAAAATATTATTTTAATAGAAAAAGGTAAATTGGTTGAAAAGATATAAAATTTTAACCAAGAAACAAGATGGCCGACATTGACACCTTTTCAATGGTGGAAAGAAAGAACAGGCGCGAAGGTAGTTCGCGCCAAAAATTAACCGCGACACCGCAAAAAAAGTGTGAAAAGATCACTACAGTCCGCCAACTTAATGTGGCTAACTGTAGTGATCTCTGCAGTCAGTGGGGTAATAGGTAATCAAAAGGTAGAGGCCATCACAAAAGGATTCATTAAACAAGTAGGTCAAATCTTTCACCAAAATATTAGACTAGACAAAGGCAAAATAAAAATAGATATTAAACAGGCAAAATTAACAGAGGCATTAAAATTCCAATTTGGTCATGAAGACCTAATAATCTACAGAATAAACCACAAAAAACAACTATAGGCTTAATCAAATATAAGAAAAACGAACCTTTCTAAATGTTACAAGCGGATGTGTATGTTAAAAATACAACAATTAAAGAAATGAAACAATCACAACATAAAAAACATGATATTGTTTACTTCAACACGGAAAAAGCACCTTCAGTAATTGAATCAACAGACGGGCCCCGACCGGTTATAAGGTGTGAAAAAGAAATTAAAGGAATAATCAATATAACAGATAAAAATAATTTCCTACTTCTAAAAGAAAAATTAATGAAAGAAAACAAAGATATTTCTGATATTCATCTAACAAAAAATGAACAAAATGCAGTAATCATATCTAATTCAGAAGAAATGCCTATCAAGGTGGCGGTGCATGGGGGCACCATACCTATTTTTCTATGCTACACCACCTTACCTAAATGTACTAATTGTCAAGGGTTCGGACATATTTCTCGCAGTTGCATGAATAAAAGCAGCTGTGTTAAATGTGCCGAACAGCACATCTACTCAGAAAAATGCACAAATAAACTGAAATGCACGAACTGTAAGGGTCCGCACTGGGCATCTAGCAACCAATGCCCAGAATGCTTGATAAGAATAAGCAGAATAAACAAAATAAATAATGACCAAGAAAAATAATACTTAAAGAAATGTTCAAATGAAAATAAATTAACACCAGTTAAAGTAAAAGTCGAAACTATTGATTCATTCATAAACAAATTAGTAAATGAAATAAAAAATAAAAATGAAGAAGAAATCAAAATAATATTGGAAACAAACTTATTACAAGAAACTGCAACAACTAAGCACAATGAAAATACAATTAACAATAAACAAAAAAACACCGAAAGTAACACAGTGACGAATGAAAAGAAAACTTACAATACACAAAGCAACATAGAAATCATCGATACAAACAAAAAAGAAACTGAATCTAATACACCGATTTCACAAACTAAAACTAATAACATGAGCATCCAGCAAAATAAAAATAAATATACTCAAAAGAATATCTCATCAATAAATACAAACTACAAGCAAAAATATGACCAAACCTATATACCCCAAAGACAGACAGCGGAAAGAGAGCACCTTATTAATATGCTCAATCATTACGAACGCCACATGTTCGTAATGAATGAACATATTAGGTTCCTCTCCCACGGGGAGAGACTGGGTCCCAATCCCCCCGTATGATTAGGCCTAGACGGTTCTAGGAGCGCGCGGTAATTACATAAAAATAAATTATATAGAATAAATTAATATGTTTCATAAAATGGCGGGGAACAAATATAAAATGAAAAACAAAACAAAAATAAATCGGGCCTCGGCATTTTATCATGGAATATGAATGGAATGAGAACAGATGTCAAATGCAATGAATTACAAAATTATTTAAATAATACCATATGTTTCCATGCTGCCGTTTAAAGAATAATATAGTAACTCTGCTCTTTTCTATTTTACCTTTAAAGTTAAATATATAAAACATCACAGTAAAGGAACACATATTTGGCATGTACCTTCGAAAAATAATAAACAGAGTAAAAACAAAATGCAATATTTTTAACAAGTGACGAAGCATAGAATAAAAATACAACAGTAACTGTTGGTATTCACGAGTCAAACATATTCTGATTAAACAAATTTTGTATTCATTATATACAATGCAGACGGATAGACATAATATATCACTGTGAAATAATTATATATAAAGAGCATCGAAACACGAGGCTATCTATATTTACTTAGTGTCTAACGCCTGAATTATCACTTTCTCCGTCTTTAAAAGAAGTAAACCCTAGAAAACTGAGTCAATAATTGACCATGCTCTAATTTAATGCCCGACAGATAGTGCGATAACTGCAGTGCATGTAACTAATACTAACACTGTGTATGTACATTAGTATACGATTTGACTCAGTTTAAACTTATTTTCAATAGCTATGGAACTTTTAATCAAT